GTTCCTAAGAAGTCTCTTGCAACCCCTCCCCACAAGCCTCATCATGTTAACCCTTGGAGATGCTTTGAGACATGCAAACTCTTGGCTCCACAGCCCCAGAGGATAGAAAGGCTCTTGCTTGTTGGGGTGAAAAGCAGAGGGGCTAGGTGGGCTTTTCTCTTAAGCAAGGTTTGTAGTTCTCTGCAGCAGCCCTTGGTCTTCCCTGGGCAGTGAGGGTGAGGTGTGTCCTAAGGAGGGTGTCCTAAGGACAAGAATTTTAAACCTGTCAGGGGCTTGTTAACATGACCCTCCCTGCGGAAGAAGCTTAGAGTGCTGCGCCTTGCCCTGAGAGCTTCGTGAATGAAAGGCTCATGGGTCTCGCCCTTGCCCGGCACACAGTAAACATCCAAGAAATGTTTGTTGGACAGAAGTAAAAATGGACAGAATGGTGGGTTGTTTTTTTTTAAGATTTGATTTATTTCTTTGACAGAGACACAGTGAGAGAGGGAACACAAGCAGGGGGAGTGGGAGAGGGAGAAGCAGGCTCCCTGCCGAGCAGGGAGCCCGATGCAGGGCTCGAGCCCACAACCCTGGGATCATGACCTGAGCCGAAGGCAGACGCCCAGTGACTGAGCCACCCAGGCGCCCCAAGAATGGTGTGTTTTACCATGACTAATATTGGCTAAAGGATACCCCTAGATTATTGGCTCCCAAAACCACTTCATGTGGGTTTGGAATCATCATAGAAGCTTCTTTAAAAGTGCAGGTTCCTGAGCCCACCCAAGAGATTTTTAATCCAGTATATCTGACTCCGATAGGAGTTTTAATAAGCCTCTTGGGTGATTCTAAAGCAAGGTTCTTTGGAACCATACTTTGAGAATTTCTGCTTCAGGAGCTGGTTTGGGGTGGGCAATGTAGGGAGAGAGGGGTGGTTCTGTGGGAGGGGCCCTTGACTGGCACCATGAGAGCTCATGGCTAACTGGAACATGAGTAAACCTGAACAATGTTCAGAAGCCTGTTGTGTGGTAGGGGCAGAGAATGTTAAAGCCAAACCTGAGTCTAGTTGGGGTGAAGTTTCCTAAATATCCTTAAGTAGGAGTTTCCCAAGTTTTGCTGACAAATTAGTGCTTTGCTGAGACCCGGCTTCTGCTCCTTGCCACTTTCCTAACTTGGCTTTGCGGATGCTAGCAAGGTAGGAAGCGAAAGGGTTTTGTCTCTCCCAGTCTCCTCAGAGAAACTTGAGTGGTTTTGAGGTAATGGAAAGAAGGAAGGAGTAAGAATGGGTCTCAAGAGGGAGGAGCCAACTCTTCCTCCCTTCCACCTTTCCCAAATTGTCTGGAATGAGCATTTGAGCTCCTGGGATCCAGAGGGGGTGAAAGTCTGTTGGCCTAAGCTGTAACTAACTCTTCCTTTGGTTAAAGATGGACCTTTCATATCATAAAATGTGAATGCAAGAAGGCTCCTTAGAGATAAGTGACATTGAACCCCTCATTTTAGAAAGGAAGTCACCGTATTTAAAGGTTAAAAGACAAAACCGTCCTGCAAAAAATGAGGGAACTAACTTGGGTCTCCGGACCATCCACAGTCCGCTGCCTGTCCACAGTTTACAAAGAGGGAAGAGTAAAGCAGCTCCTCCTCCACACTGTGGCAGGCTCAGTGCTGAGCAACAGAGCAGTGTTCAAGGAGACACCCTTGTTTCTGGGAGACCCTACAGCCAGTGTGGCTGACTGGGAGGCTTGCTGACCCGCCCCCTTTGCAGTTTGTTTGCTAAACTTTTGCTCCAGGCTTCTGAGGCCACATCTTGAGCTACTCCTGCAGGAGAAGGCAGAGAGGATCTGGGTTCCCACCCCACCAAGCAAGGATAAAGGATCCCCTCATCTCCTGCTGAGCTTGATCCCTGGGGGGTCAAAACAAGAAATGCCCTTAGATTAATGTAACTGGATAGTACAAATTTAGGACATGTGTGAACACACACAGGTGCACCCAGGTCAGTTACATTTGTACTAATCTTTTTTTTTTTTGCTCCTTTATTTTTTAAGTAGGTAATGAATTTAAATTTACGTGGCTCAAGATTCAAAGGGTACACAATGGTATGCAGTGAAAATCTTTCTCCCACCCCTGTCCTCAGCCACCTAGATCCCCTTCACATAAAGTTATTAGTTTCTTGTTTGCCTTTCCAGAGATACTTTATACATCTCCATCTATCTATAAATTCCCCCACATTTTTTTTTGCTTAGATGATAGCATATTAGGCTCTTTTGCGCCGTGCTTTTCCCCCTATTGTATCTTTTTTTTTAAAGATTTTATTTATTTATTTGTCAGAGAGAGAGAGAGAGCTAGCACAAGCAGGGGAGAGTGGCAGGCAGAGGGAGAAGTAGGCTCCCTGATGAGCAAGGGGCCCGATATGGGACTTGATCCCAGGACCCTGGGATCATGACCTGAGCTGAAGGCAGATGCTTAACCAACTAAGCCACCCAGGCACCCTCCCCTATTGTATCTTAAAGATCATTTCATATAAATGCATACAGAACTTCCTGGTTTACTTTTACAATTTCATGCCCTTCTACTGTACATACCTACCACAATTTATTTAACTCATCCCCTATCAATGGGGATAGAAAGGCTCTTGCTTATTTTCAGTCTTTTGCTATTACAAACACATGTTCAAGTTTTTGACCTATTAGAAAAATTCCCAGACATGGAATTACTTAGTCAAAAGTATGTGCACTGGCAATTTTGATACAAAATGCCAAATTGCTCTCTTTAGAAGTGAATCAATTTACCCTTCTACTAGCAACATAAGAAAATTCCTGTTACCCTATGCTCTTGCCACCTCAGTGGGATAGTAAAATTTTTTATTTTTGCCAATCCAATAAGTAAAAGAATAATACCTCTTACTTACCCTTAGAGCATCTCCAGAAATGCCATTCTTCTTTATCTTGTTTGATCCTTTCATAATTCTATTTTACAAATAAATGGTAATACTGACGCAGAAAAGATAAAACTACTTGTTGTCATCACACCCAGTGTAAATGGCCAAGGTCAGATGTTCCAACACACTTTCCTATACTGCGCTGTGTCACAAGGAAGCCTAAAGAGGTTCAAAGAGAGTGGGTGGCTTCAAGCATTCCCTGAAAGACACATGATATAAAAAAGCTTTCCGACATCTGCTAAGAGGCCTCCTCTTTAGTGGTCTGATACCAGGACCACATTTCTGCATGTGTCCCTGGAGAGTACCCTCCGGAAGCAGAGGAGCTCTAATTAGCAATATGATCTGACCTAGTCCTAAGCATTAGCTTGGATTCAATATCTGGGAAGCAGGAGGGTGTTGTTTTTAATTTTCCTGAGACTTATTTCTCACTGGCCACCCAGGATCTAAGTATTGATTAGCATGGTGTGGGTAAGAGGATGTTTTCCCTAGGTTTTAGCTTTGCATAGCACACTTGGACCTGGTGAAGGTAATTCCTAATGTGGGCGCGTGCGCGCGCACACACACACACACACACACACGGTAAACTTCTGAGAGAGATATCTAGTGATTGTTACATTGGTAATGAAACTGAAAGCCAGAAAGATTAAGTGAATTGTTTAGGGTCATACAGTGTATCATTTAGGGTCATACAGTGTATCAGTTAGCAAAACAGAAAACACAATGTAGACCTAAAACTGAGTTCTTTAGTTTCCCCTGCTAAGTATTCTCTTCCCTGTCCTGTATTCATTTCGGTGAAATGACCTGAGTACCTACTCAAGTCCTCTAAATAGAAACCTAGGGATTAATATCTGTAACTCCTCTTTCACTCATCCAGTTATCACCCAGTCCTGTGAATTTGTCCTCCTCAATGTCTTTCCTCTTCATTGTCATTATCTTAGTTCCTCTCTATGCTGGATTATTGCAGCAGCCTCCGTTTTTTCCTTCTTGCCTCCTATCTCTGCTTTCTCCAGTCAGACACAGTATTCCCAAAGAGCAAGTTTCCAGTACATAACCTCACATCCCATTTTAAAACCTTCAGTGGCTTCCCACTGCCTACAGAGCAGGTCCAGACTCCTTTCGATGAACCCCACACAACCTTTCTTTCCAGCCAGATGTTCTATTCCAAAGGATGCTTCTTGTTCCAGGCCCAGACCTTGCTCTTTCTTCCCTTGCTTTGCATGTGCTGCTCACTCTGCCTGGTATGTCCCTCCTTCCTAAAAAACTAATACTTCAGGAACCCAAATTCACCTCCCCTGAGAAGACCTTTTTTGACACTACAGTACTGTTAGAGGCTCCTTCTCTTTATTCCAGGAACATTTTGGTCACGCCTGTGTTATAGCATCTGTCAGACTGTTTTAGGATTCTTTTTCTCCCCCAGGAGATGAAAAGGTGCACACTATTAGTGACTCATTTTTATATCTCAGAACCCAGCACAGTGCCCACAGGAGCTGTTCAGGAGGTATTGCTGAAAGGCAAGGAGAGAAGGACACACTCTGAGCCAAGGACAACAGGACCAGTATTTTCATTGCTTAATGAGTTCAGAACACTGTGCAAGGCTTCATGCTTCAGCTTGTATCTATCTAAAGCAAAATGATAGTAGAACATCTCTCCAAAGCAAGTTCATTTCCACCCAAGAGGAGGCTGAAAGAGAAGAGGGGAGGGGGGAGTTGGGATTTTCTGTCTTTCAGAGGCTCTTTCCTATAGGCTGAGGCAACACTCAACTAACTCCAGAAACTTCTCAGCTGATGTCACTCAGCAAAAGAATAAAAGAGGGGGTAGCCTGGAACTTAGAATTTATAAAGAGAACTACAAATATCACTCAGGAAGGGGTGTAAGAATGCTTCACCACCCACTTACCCAAGCCCTCCCGCGCTAAACGGCTCTAATGCTAATGACCCGCCCCCCTCCCCCGCCCTGCGCGCCGTTTTCAGTCTATCTCTTAGTCTATCCCTTTATGGTATTTCTTAAAAATGACCCCAAAAGAGCTGATGTAAAAATATCCCAGTCCTTCCTTCACACCAGACAAGAGAGGAAAGGCATATCATTGTGGTTGGTATCTGAAGTGTATTTTTATTGTTCTTTTTATATGACATTCAAGTTTAGTTCCAAGTTCAACAGGGTGTTATCCTGCTTCCTCCCACACAAATTACTCTTGCAGGTAAGTAAGAACGAAACTAGCTCCGCCCCTTCCCGGAATCCTAGTCCCTTGGGAGCCTTTTTTTGTGTGTCTGCAAAAACCTTGTGACCCACTGGGATTTGTCTTGTTCTGCCTTGGGAGAGATGGGAGTTGTGGCGTGGAGTAGCGCTGAGGGTGCGACGGGGCAGGGAGGAAGCGGCGGGTGTGGGGGCCTGGGGATACCGAGCCACCGTGCGTCGGGGACGGGCGCTGGGGCCCGCCTCTTGGGAGGGCGGTGGGCCGGCAGGCGGCAGTAGGGACCCGGAGCGCGGGGGGTGACCGGCCTCGCGCCGCAGGGCGTGGGGCGGCGTCGCACCCTCCGTGAGCGCTCACCCCGCGTGCCTGCGTCTCCGCTTGCGGTTTCGGGTCGGCTCCCAGCTGGCCCAGACTTGGGGCTCTGAAGTAGGAGGAACCGCTGTCGAGCGAGAAGTGCACACCGGGTGATTGATGAATTCTTAATAGGACTAACCTCTCCCGCCGCCCCCCGCCCCCCACCCCCCCAACCCTCGACACACACACAGAAATTCTTCACCCCAGCCCCCTCCCCAGGCCTCCTCGCTGGCGAGAGGGGACGCGGCCGCCAGCCTGTGGGGTGATTAACTCACCGTTTGTCTTTCCGAAAGTGTGCCAGGTGGATTCCGGCAGCCTGGCCGCGGCCCGGCGGCTCCGGCTCTGTGCTGACTGCGCCCTGCGGCAGGCCGGGCGAGCGCCGAGCGCGCGCGCGTCACATGCTGGCGCGGCCCCGAGACGGCCATTGTGCCGCGCGACCGCCGGGCCGCCCGGGGCAGGCGGCGGCTATTGTTCCCCGCGGGCGAGGGAGGTGCTCAGACTCGGGGTCCACGCCAGCCTCCTTCCCAGAGTGTCCCCACGTCTGAGGACGGGTGGGGGCTTCCTTTGTGTGTTCTGTGCCTGCGACGGGAATGGCGCGTCGTTGCTGCCCCAGGGGGCCGCAGACGGGGCGGAGGGAGGTTGGTGCCAGCTCGACTACCTCGAGCGCCGCGCAACCGACCCAGTTTCCCGCTCTGCCCTTGCGGAGGAGGCTGGGAGGCATGCGCTATTCGTAGGGCAGCGCTTGGAACAATAGAGTCATCAAAGGGCCTTCGCCCGGCTCCTCCTAAGTCAGCAACGCTCTTCTCCCCACCTTCAACAAGGCCCTGGCCCAACAGGTCCTCTTGGCCTGGTTTTAGGCCTGCTTTCCCAGTAAAAACATTTCATCTGTACCACCAGGGTTCTCCCTGAGTCCTGATTTAAATGAAAGTCTCCTCCTTGGGCTCTTACTAATGTTAAAATCCTATTTTCATTATTTTCCAGATAATCTATAAAAATGATCCAGACTAGCTACCGGAAGTAGTCAAGATATTTTGCCACAAATAGGGACCTTTTGGGGCGCCTGGGTGGCTCAGGTGGTTGGGCGTCTGCCTTCCGTTCAGGTCATGATCTGGGGGTCCTGGGATCGAGCCCCACGTCAGGCTCTCTGCTCAGTGGGGAGTCTGCCTCTCTCTCTCTCTCACTCTCACTCTGTGCTCTCTCTCTCTCTGTCAAATAAATAAAATTTAAAAAAAAAGGGGGGGGAACCTTTGGCCTTCTTCTGCTACTGCAAATGATTGGACATCCATTTTCATTTCTTCGTCCTTCATGTGGGAAAACCTTTTGTTCGCTGTGCTTCAGGCTGGACCTGGCCTGAAAGTGGGTCCTTGAATTACCTTTGTACTATTCCAACTTGCCAAGTCGTTATGAGACCTGAGGGAAGTGTTTAGGCATGGGCTTTAGGTCAGGTATAGATAATCCATTTGGTACCAACTTTGGGCCCCAAAGATAAGGGCATTTGTAACTGGACCGAAGACAAGGGAACAATGAAAACTACAATTTCACCCTCTGTGATGATCTTGACCGCCAGCACCACCAATGCCGTGAGTACAGAGGATTCACCTACCCAGTCTTTTTTTCTCTCCATCCAGGCTCTCTGCGAGAGAGATCTAAGTGAGCTAGTCCTCGTAGCTGGTGAGGGCATGGCTGGAGACTAAGTCTCATCTGTGCCCAAAGTGTCTAGGGATAAGTCTGCTCGCCCAGGCAGTACCTATATCCTCTCTGGGAAGTTGCAGTGCCCCGAAGTGGTGAGGCTGTAGGTCTATGGGGCCTTCTGCCCCTCTCTGTATTTTTATTTAATACTCACAAACTTTGGTTCATCCAATTTTTTTTTCTTACAGTTTCTGAAAGAAGGACCAAAGTCATGCCAAGAACTCCCAGATGAAGAGGACCTTCGTGGATCTGTAACTAGGATTAACCAATTCTTTACTTCAAGAAAAAGTTTCAACGAATTCTGAGGATAAAGCCAAACAGGCCGGTGACTGTCCCTTGAGTACTGAGTGTAAACAAGCTTCTGGCTCCTCCAGGTCAAGCAGAGAAACTCTTCTCATTAGAATGTTGGGTTTCTTCTTTGTTATTCAAACGTACACCCACACATATCCTCTTCACCCTCCCTAATGAAAACCTCAACAGATGGAGAGCCTAGGCTCCCAAGACTTATGGCTGAGGAGATGCACTTCACTCAAGGGTGGGTTGGCCGGTACAGAAGGGGGGGGTAGGGAGGAGGAGAAATGAGTAGCTAGCGTAGGTAATCACTATCTTTTAATACTCCTTACAGATAGAAATTCAAAAAATCCTGTTCAGCAAGGTTAGCAGCCTCTGGGGCCTAGGAAACCAATTTGGCTGATGTGTCTCTGATAGGGACTAGGCTTGGGGCTGCACCAGGGGGGGAAAGTACTCATTCTGTATTCTCTCTCTCTCATACAAAGAGATGGTACAAATGGATGCTTAACTTAATGATTCATCAGAGGCGGATTTTTCTCTGTCAGGTCCCTGGATGAGGCTGAGGTCTGAAAGCCAGGAGGCAGAACATTTACTTAATCGCCCTTTCTTACCACCTTTCCAGGGGCCAGGACTACTCTTCAGACCTTTCTTCTGCAACTACCCCCACACCCCTGGCTAGCTCAGTTGGGTCTCTTTACCCCACTCCAGGCTGGATCCTGAGTTTCTCCTGGTAGCCAGGGCAAGCTCTCCCTCTGCCTAAATCTCTTTACCCACCCCCACTTCCCATTCTTCAGTGGGCAATTCATGCAGCCTCCTCCCTACCCTGCTTTAATTCACGTTTGATTGCCTGGACAGAACAACCAGGGGCTCCCAAACGGCTGCCACCCCCATCCATGGGCCTGGGTTTTAGACTCTGAGCCCTTTTCTTCAAGCCTCAGGAGGATCCCCCACAACCTCCCTGACCCCTCTCCTCCCGCCCCCTCCACCCTTCAGCGGTCTCTGTAGGGAAAAAAATTAAAAGGAGCTGATCAAGGCCTGAGCCAAAGAGCCACTTCCTCCCCTGGAGCAGCAAACGAGGTACACCTCCCAGAGACCAATGCCCAAAGCGAAGCCCAACCCTTCCTCCAGACGTAGGCCCTCCGGTGCTATTGTGAGGCCTTACCCGAAGCCGAGGCCGGGGAAGTTGCGCACACAAAGGCGCAAGGCTCCTGGAAGCCCCGGCTGCTCCTAGCGCCTTCAGCGCAGCTCCCGACAGTGAGGGGTCAGCAGCCTCGAGGCCTTGGTGCGTTCCCCATTGCCCCCGGTGAGCTCGCGCAGAAGTCACGGGCTAGGTTGGAGGTTTCCTTCGCCTTCCAACTTGCCCCTTCCCGCTGCCTGTCACACACTCTACCACTTCCCCCGGGACGGAGAGGCCTGGACCTGGGGCGCCATTGCCCAGCCCGTGCTCCCCTCCCCCACTCTCTTTCTTTCCGAGACCGGGGAGGGAGGAGGCAGGGGCCTCCGCCGATAGAGCGGCTATTGTGACCTTCCCTCGCTGAGCGGGAACCCAACCGAGAGTGTACCGCCGGCGGGGGAGGAGGCGACTGTGTGTGCAGGCCTCGGGGTGCGGAGGGGGTGGTACTGGGAAATAAATAGAGGTTCGCAACCTTGGGCATTTGGGCCCTTCAGAGGGCGTTTGGTTGTGTTTAGACTCCAGTGCTTCCTAACATTAATTGCAGGCTCAAAAGGAGCAGAATTTATGGCGAAGGCCAAGGCGGCTTGTTTATAATTTATGAAGTTTTAAATGGCTGTGCCGCGGGCCCCCCTCTCGCCCTGGCCGACGGCCGCGCGGGAAGCGCCAACCCAGACTCGGCGCCCCCCACCCCGCCCCGGGCCCTCCGCCACCCTGCGCGCGCCAGGAGCGACCGAGTGTGCCCATCACATGACACTCACGCTAATGGCAGGAAAGAATCCGAGCTATTCTCAGAAGCCTCGGGGAACCTTTCTCCAAAGGTGAGAGAAAGCCGATTTGTCCCAAGCGAACTCCCCCACCCCATCAGAGAGGGGTGCCTCCGGGCCCCGAGAGGGAGCCCCCAACCCCGCATTTCTTTGGAGCCTCAGTGTGAGAGGAAGCTGATGTCAGCCGGCCTAGACACGGTTTAAAGTCTAATCCATGAAACCCTAAGCCGCAGATGACACTTGGGGCCTTCGCAGACACCCGCAGACTCAGCAGATACTCCTGCGGTAACACACCGCGCTGGAAAACGCCTGGAGCCATAATGCATTATGTATCTTTATTATTATTTATGGTAGGAAGAGGAGATGAGGGAAAACCGGGCTGAATCTAAACAGCCTGATAATTCATCTATTTAATATTTAGCCAGTTAAGAAAGGTTGTTGTAATCCCTGCAAGGCAGCAAGCTCTTCTTTGACTTCCCTAATAGCTTAAAAAATAATTTCTTACAAGACAATTAGAAATTCTGCCTATGGATGCAAATTTCATAGAAAACAATTTTAAACCTTGAAAGTGGGTAAAATATCCCTTCAGTTGAAGTCATTTATTCTGTCGATACACTTCTACAACATGTATACTCTAAACCTGCTCAGATAAAGTGAAATTTAGCAAAAGGATAGTCCCCTCCCACCCCCAATCTAACATGCCATTTTAAAAACAGCACAAAGGAACAAGGAAACTAAATATTATTTGAGCCATCATTATTTAGCGAAACACAAACATCCAAATAGAAACGATTGTTGTTCCACCAGAAGATTAGAAGTTAAATTATTTCCACACAATGGGAATTTCACCTCGTGTCACGGGGGATGTAGTAGGAGTTGCATTATTTGTCAAACCAAATAGAGATGCGTGGGCCGACTTTGCTGAAATACAAAAGAATTGAACCTTATCTGAAGGCGCTTTCCAAGTGTCTCCTTATAGAGAAGTGGGTGGACGTTGTCCGCCCCTAGCTAAAGCCACGCTAATATTTACAAAATGGATATAAATCCTTGAAGACGTTTTTGCCCGTTTTGTACAAAGAGACAGGAATAAACAAGGTGTTTATACTTGTTATGTTCCATTAATGAAACTTTTATTACTTTACATCGTGGGGGAACGTTTGTTTACTTTAGAAATGAACCACCAACCATTGTAAAGGAAAAAGTCCTGACAGCATTTCCTAGAGAAAAAGCTTAGGTGCGTATCCCCAAATGATCGTTTCTTTTTGTGCACCTTAGCTTTTTCATAGCTCAGTTCTTCTTACAACTTGTGTCTCTTCTTTGATTGTCAGTTTTCTCTTAAAGTTTGTTTTTTATTAGCGCAGAAAAGCGAGCGCTGGTCTCCCCAATGTAAATGCAATCTAAAAAAGTCGATTTGTGTCTAAAAAGAGGGTGGTGGAAACAGCACAGCAGGCACAGCACAAAGCCCTACCCAAGTTGTCCCATGCAGGACATTTCTAGGCTTGCATCCTCAGATTTTACCCCCTAAGATCAATGCTGCAATGTAATCAAGTATCCCCAGAACCAATTCGTGTACCACATTCCAAATAAATGAAAAATATATATATATATATATATATATATATATCAAAGAGCCTATCTGGGGGCCTTCTATTGGGATTGTGCGAAAGATAAAAAGGCAGAGTGATCTACTTCCAAGTGTGCGTGATTAACACAGATACACTTCGGACTGAGAAATTTTTTTATTCTAAATATTTGTTCAAATAGTACCAGACAATTTGAAATCAATAAACTGTGTCGAGTGGTGAGGGCTGCGGCTGTTGAGAAATGAGTAACGGGTGTCGTGCCACGCCACGGGGCCGCCTGACTCTAACCATGAAGGACAATTTGCGGTCTTAATCCTTTACATCAACTACAAACACCAGCCACGGTTACAACTGTTCAAAACTACTCTCTCAACTAGTTCAGACCAAGGGGGACTAAAGAGGTGAAACATGGCCCCCGCGGCCTGGGAGCGCGTTCCTAAGGTTGGCTGGAGAATTCTACAAATATACACATAAATACATTAAGACGAGGATAAATAATCAGGGAAACGAAATGACTCGCTTCAAATAATAAATACAGATCGTTGAGTCCGTTGCAATCCTTACGGGACGGGAAGGAGCATATAAATTAAGGTCTCCGCAACTAAGCTAGACTCGGGTCAGGCCCCGGGGCTGTCCGGGAGCTGGTCCCTCTGCAGAGCGCGCCGCCGATGGATCTCAGACTTACCTTCGGGACACCATTACCAGATTAGCGTCCCTCGGTCCGCAGTATATGGCACTGTCAGGTTTACAGAGGAGAATCCTTGCGGCTGATTTATGGCGAGTCACCCGAAGGAGGGCGCGCCTGGAGGGGAGGCCCAGTCGCCTGCGTCTCGGCCGCTGTTGGCCCGAGACCCAGGAGGCGGCGACCGGGCCAGAGCGAGGGAGGGGGTCACCGAGCTGCCCCGCGGGCCCCGCCCGCCACCCCAACCACCAAAGCAAAAGAGGTAATTGCGCCGCGAGTTCGGGCCGGTGGCGGCCGCTACAGATGCGTCAGTTTGGGGGCCTCGGGCAGGCGTCCCTGAGACGAGTGGTGGGCCGAGAGATCTGTGTAGGTGGGATGAGGGTCGCACGGTCCATGGTGGTGGTTGCCGGGAATTTGCGCGGCGCAGCTGTAGTCCACGCTGGCCGAAGACGGGTGCGAGAGGTGGCCCAGGTTGAAGACGGGCCCGGACGCAGGCGCCATGGAGTCGACGAAGTTGCCACCCACGTACACCGGGCTGCCCTGCAGGTTGGCGCTGGCGAAGCCGCCACCGTTGCTTGCCATGGGGTGGGGCTCGAACTCGGGCGCCGCGTAGCGCTTCTGCTGTGGCAGGCAGCTGCTGAGCGGCGCCGTGTAGGCGGCCAGGCCGTACATGTTGGGCTGAGATTTGGCGAAGGCGGGCGGCGAGGGCGCGTCGTAGGCCAGGCCGGGCACGGGCGGCAGCTGGCCGGAGTAGGCCACGTGGCTGGAGGCGCTGCCCAGCGGCGGACTGCGCTCCGGGGACTGACCCGCCGGCGAGTGCAGGATGCCCTTGGCCTTCTGGTCCTTCTTGTACTTCATGCGCCGGTTCTGGAACCAGATCTTGATCTGGCGCTCGGTGAGGTTCAGCAGGTTGGCCATCTCCACGCGGCGCGGCCGGCACAAGTAGCGGTTGAAGTGGAATTCCTTCTCCAGCTCCACCAGCTGTGCGCTCGTGTATGCCGTGCGCACCCGCTTGGACGCCGGGCCCGGCGGGCTCTTATCCTCGCAGCTCTCTCCTGGACAGGAAGGGAGACAGAGGAGATGCTGAGCGGGAGAGGGGGGGTGGGCACCCAGGGCGGGAGCAGGGTGCTTCCCTGGCTCCCTTCTCTTCCTCCCCCCCGCCCCCCACCTTAATGCTGGCTGGAGTGGGGGAGGGGCGTCTGAGAGGTGAGACTCCTAGCGGGACCTCACAGGCCCCAGGCCTACCTAGGAGTTGCACCTGAACACCCCCCACCACCACCACCAATCTGCCTTCTGAAGTCCGATTCACTCTGCCGTCCCCTCCCCTCCAGCCTAGTCCATCATGCTGTCCCTAAGGCTAAGGCTGTGGAGAAGTTTAATGAGAGACTAGTAGCAGCTGGTAAGGCCTAGCCCCCCCTCCCAGCCCCCATTCAAGGAGGGCCAGACTTCTTTTGAACACTCTCCCCAGCCTCTGCTGGGGGATGGTGGAGGAAGGCACACCCCCTGTACCCCCCCTCCCCTGCCTTGCTCTGGGGCTGGCTCCTGGGCAAAGCACCCCAGGAAGCACAGAATGAGGGTGGAGATCTTAGCACCTCACTCCAGCTCAGCTTGCACCCAAGGGCTCTGCACCCCAACTCAGGGAAATAATAAACCATAAAAATACTGCCCCTGACTTTCAGGGTCTCTGAGCCCAGGCTGGGTGCATTTTGAGTATTTCCGTGCTAAGAGCAGCAGTCTCAACACTGGTTTCCACTACCCCTGCCACCTCTCGGCGGCTTGTCCGATCCCTCCCTGGTTGTACAAATGGATTTCTCAGGGGAGGGAGGGGCCTGGGCTTGCAGCTGGGAAGGAGGGGCAGAAGAAGCTCACAGGCTGGAAGGTACTTCCCCCTAGGAACCGAAGCCCCAGAGAGTTGCAGGCAAACCGGAGACTTGATAAAAGCTAGTTACATCCAAGGCCTGAAACTAGCCCTGGACCTGGAAGCAAATTCGTCTACCTGAAGATAAACTGCATCAAAGGACACAAGGCCAGGAAATTTTAGGAACCAATCAGGCTGAGCAGCGAGACGCAGCAGGCCTTAGAGCTCCTGGGCCTGCCCATCTTCTGCCACACACCCTGAATGGATCCACAGAAGATCTCAACTCTAGGGTCTCCCTTTTCAGGGACAGAAACCCAAGGCTGTTCCTGTTTCAGAGCACATCCTCTTCCCCTAGGATACACCCCTCCCCATTGTGGATTTGCTGGGATGGGGAGAAATGGGCTGGGTAGACCAAGTAGAGTCCATGGCTAGGTCTTGCAGGCTCTGGTTGGATTCAAGTGCGCCATTCTGTGGCTTTGTGATCTTGGGCAACTCTAACAGTTTCCTTATCTGTAAAATGGGGATGTTATCATATACCTACCTCAAAGGGTTCTTTGGAAAATTAAATTAGATAATGCTTGTAAAGCATTTAGCCTGGTTGTTAACATGGAACCATGTTAACACTCCACAGACTTTAGTTTTTATTAATTTAAGGGAGTGGGATTTGTGTGATATGGGCTACATAAGAACCCATGCTTGGAGAATCAAGTTTTGGAGAGCTGTCGGATGGAAGAAGGAGCTGAGTTATGACCAGCAGCCCAAGAAAGCAAACATTAGGTCAATATAAGAGAAGGCTATCTATTCATAACTGTGGGACTTGTCCAGCAATGGCACCAGCAGCCTGGAACGGAGCACCCTGTCCCTGTAAGGGTATGGCTTCAATCAGGGACACTGAAAAGAAAGGCCATTTCGGCATGAGTAGAAGTGTAGACCTATGGCCTCCAAAGCTGCACTTCTCGCCCTGAGTCTCTTGCTTCCTAGGTGAGCTAGCTTCTTGGGGTCATTCTGGGGGACTTAGCCCAGGATGAGCCCCCTCAGAGTGCTACCTGCAGTGGCACAGCTGTTCTTCTGCTTGGAGTTCTGTCGGGACTCTTTCATCCAAGGGAAGATCTGCTTGCTGATGGTGGCTGAGGAGCCAGAAGCATTGGGCCCACCCTTGGCCTTCTTGGCAGGCACTCCACCTCCAGGATTGGTGGGCGAGGATGGGGGCAAGGCTGGTGGTGGAGGAGGGGGCTGTGGTGGCTGCCTCTCTGAGTTCAGGCCAGGAGGCTGGCTGCCACCGCCCCCACCCTGGCTGTTCCCAGTGCCGGGCCGCATACAGCTGCCATTGAGTTCAGTTCCTTTGTGGGCTGGGGCTCTCAGAGGTGCCGAACTCTGGATGGAACAGGCAGAGCCCGGGTAATCAGTGTCCAGGGAGTTGGCAGCAGCGGGGGGTGGGTAAGGCTGATGGGGGGTGCCATAGCCGTAAGTGTCGGTGGCTTTGCTGTAGCCATAGCCTCCGAAGAGTCCTGGGTTTTCATAGTAAGCAGCCTTCTGCATCGTGCACTCAGGAAGTTCCAGGGCCTGCTGACCCGGCTCAAATAACATTGACCACCACTGTCTCTTTCACCACCACCTCCGAGGTCTGCTGAACCCTGAGAGGGCTGGGGTGGCCCCAGGCTCCAGGTGACCTGTGGGGAAGAAAAGTGAAAGCCCCAGAGGGACTGTAACTGACAAGACAGTCAATATAGAAGGTCTAGCGTGGTCTTTGCTGCCCACCCACTTCCTAGGGGGAGGAGCTGAGATTTTATGAAGTTCAACTTATTTGAACCCTTGGAAAAGTCTGAAGAAATTTCTCATAAACATAAGAAAAGCCTTTCCTTCTCTTGAGCTCAAGTGTCCATCCAATAGAAGGGGCTTCCTCCCCGCCCAGACACTATTTTCTTTCTTCAAGACTGTCAATTTAGCTTTTGAAATGGCATAGAAAAGCACTTATGGCCTCATACATTTTGATGGCTGATTCTCCCACTGGACTTTGAGCTCCTTGCAGGCAAGGACTGTGTCTTATTCTTCTATATATTCCTAACACCCAGCCCAGTGCCCTGCCTGTAGTTAAGTGCAGTAAATGCTTGTTGAATGAGTGAGTGGATGGAACAATCAGTCAATCTTTGGGACACCCCAGGGTGTTCATGAAAAAAGAAAGCTCTATAACACACTCAGAACAGCCAGAACTCTCAAAAAGAAGAAGAAGAAAAAAAAAGTATCTCCCCCACCTGGTTTCAAAATCACAGCATCTTTCATGAAGACCCCGGTAGTCCACTTTCCAGTGACAGGGTGAGAATGCGCCCAGTGAACTCTGTGGGTCAGCACTGTGAAATGTACTAGGAGATAAAAAACCAAGAACACTTAGACTCCCAAACTTATTTTCAGGTTAGAAAATGTTTTTTCTCTTTCAACTACATTTTTCTAGTCCTCACTTTGTCCTACACTACTATTAAATGGATACTAGAAAGGGTGAAGAGATTTAGAATTTGAATGCATGGAGCATGGGTGAACATAGAATGCTTTATATTATAACTTTATCATTTTTACCCTGCATCTATTGTGTAAATATATATTATTATTGACCTCTGCTCTGGATCATCCATGGCACCCCACCTCCACCCACTCCACAACCAATGAGAGAACTTCTTCTGCCATGATGAATGGACCCAGAATTAGAATAAGAAGAAAAAAAAAATAAGAAAAATTCTATCCCTTTGTGTCCTCTGATTCTTGATGGGGGTTTTCCTTCTCACCCACTCCACCCCCTTCTCCTGAAAGGCTCCTAAGGAGTTAAAGTATAACTAATACCATTCAACCACTTTTGTCTGCTTGATAAAGAAAACTCATAGGTCAGCTCCCTGGTCTTAATTCTTGATCTCCTCTTTCAGGCAACTTTCCTTCCTCAAAACTCCCTGGGCTTCCATCATGGTCATCATGATGGACCACATTGTCTAGACAACTTATGTGGCCTAATGGATTTGACCACTAGGATCAAAACCACTCCTCCCTTCCCTCATTTATCCTCCACTTTCACCAAAGAGCCCAATTTTTAAAATTCTTCATATTAGCCTTTGTTTGGTAGTACTGTTGGCCATTTTGTTTTAAAATATAAGTGAATCTGGCATTTATCTTGATAAGACACAGGCCCTTTTCAATGGGATAATAGAATACCAGGATGTGTTTTAGGAATTGTTTCTATTATTGTCCTTAAATGTATGCAGTTAAGATATCTACCTAAGCAAAGCTGGTCTTAATCTTTCTTTTTCATTCATTTTCTATATCATCCTCTGACTATTAAAGTTCCTGAATATCAAATGGAAAGTTACACCCTCATCCTGTGACTAACATTTATGTGTTTGCTCCCAAGCCAAAGGACCGGGTACTCCGGGTTTAGTTGTTTCTGGACTTTTCTGGGATGCCGGTTCCAGTCTTAATCCGTGGACCCTCTGGATGTCAAAATGGTCACATTTGACTCTCAGACCACCAGAACTCACTGCTGCTTCTGTCATTTCGTTTACAACTGTGGAAGCAAAGTAACCCCCCCCCTTACCTCCCAGGTTGACCAAGTTTATCTCAATAGGTGGACAAATCACATTAAAATAGCTTCTTTAGAAACTGACCACATCTTTGAAACAGATGGCTTTACATATATATTTGTTCCTATGGCATATTCCTGGAAGAAGCTCCGTGTACTGGGTCTCAAAAGTGTAAATACTTGGCAGCTTCATGAAAAACCCCAGCGCTTGTTCTCCTGCATCTGTTTTCATTGTCTTAAGGAATTTCAAGGCCCACTCAATGATGAGCCACCACCCCAATGTCTACTGCCCCAGAAGCAAGGCCAGTGGCCCTCTCCTCACCAGAAAGGGCTTTGCAGCCTCCCCCCACATCCATATTATAATGCCCCAGAGAAACCAACTCTCCTAAAACAGAACCCGAGAATATTGTTACAAAACTGGTTTAAAAAAAAAAAAAGGTTATTTCTTTCCAGAAATCCCTACTCCTTGTGAACTCTGCTTGAACCTAAAAAGCAGGAATGGGTCATAAATCACTTGGACAATGGTCAACTGTTCAGTGGCTCATCTTTTCGATCACCCCCCCCCTTTTTTTTTTAAAGCTTTCTTTTTTCGCCCTTTGGTATCTCTGCTCATTTTTGCTCCGGAACCCAAATGCCTTGGGGTGAAGACTAGCCCGTGTAGGGGGAGGGGCGGTATTCGAAGTCCTCAGCTGCCCTTTTCTCTCATGCCTCCTCCCCTCAACCCCCCGGGGCACCGGCCGGGGCAGCCTCCCCAGACCCCGCCGGCACAACCCCTGGCCCCTTCTAGGGTAGGGGCGCTAAACGGGGTCTGGCTCGACCTTTCTCGCGGTCCCGGGAAGTTGCCCAGCTCAGCTTGGAGGCCCAACCGCAGGCTGGGAATGCGGGGCCGAACGGTCCCCAGCCAGAAGGAAGGCGGCCTCAAAGCGACCACCGTCCGCCGCCTGGGCCGCGCTGGACCGCCGCACCCGCCGCGCCTCTGAAGCCGCTGAACCCTGATACTTGCTCACTGCACTTAATTCTGCCCGGGATCAATACCTAATATGATACCGAATAAATAAAAGGCGCTCACAGCGGCCAGGGGACGGGGTTATTAAGCAGCTGGAGCTCTCACGGTGCATATCAATGCACCTGTCATTGTGGTTTGTAACAAAATTTATGACTGCAAGCACGGCGGCAGTAAACGCTTCAGTAGGGAATGAAAAGAAAAACACTTCCCAAGGCCCGGCACTTTTCAGAAGTGGAAAACAGGCTCCGCGTAGGAGGAAGAGCAGCAAAGGAATTCCCTACTCCGCACTTTTCCAGGCCCCGCGCCCCGCGAGCAGGGGGATTATATAAAGTGGCCAGTGCCCGCCTCTCGGAGCAGCTCTGCCGGGCGGCCAGACGCGGGACCGCACGCGCGCAGCCTTGCCGGGGGCCGAAGACCTGCCGCCCGCCGCTGCCTGGGGACGCCGGGAGGCTCGCGGGGATGCGCGGAGGCCGGCCCGGCGCTCGCTCGCCCACCCGCCCGCCGGGGCCGGGGCCGGGGCAAAAACCGAGGGGCTTGGGGAGGGAGGGGGCGGCAGTCGCCGGGCTGTGACTTGCTCGGCAATCGTAGTAAATTATGGACCGGTAGAGCCGGGGCAAGTTGAAAGAGAAGGGGGAGGCGATGGTTTGCCGGTTGTTTCTGTGGCTCTCAGATGTTTCTAAGGTTCCATTTGGCCTTGGCTTCTCTCCCTGTTTCTTCCTAAACCAGGGCCTCAGAAGCCCACAGATCTCTTTTTGGCGGACAAGACTCTTGCTGGGCATCCCCGTTAATTCGCTGGAACATAGCAACGATTCTTACTCCCTGTTGGCTTTGCTGCTTCGGGATTCCGAAACCACTCCTTTTCGGGTGTTCTCCGTGGGGATATATTTGCAGCAGAGCTGGGACAGCTTTCTGCCCGAGCTCTCTCCATCTCTCAGCCTGAGCCTCTTCTGCCCTATGGGAAGCCCTGGACGCGCCTTCTAAATCATTCTTATTTAGCCCAGATAACTCAATAGGTAATACACCCTGCATTTAAGGCACTGGGCTCACCCCATTAAAGCGCCATAAATTTGAAGGCCGATGATCGGTTATCATGTAACGGGCAGCAGTTCACACTGAGGTGATCCACTTCAAAGCCGCCCTTTGTTTTATGTCTTGATGTATGAATCCTGCGATGGCTACCTTGAGTTGTAGGACAGATGGAAATGTAGTGGAAATTATTTTTTTTTAAATCACACTACTCACCACAATTGTGTGTGTGTGTGTGTGTGTGTGTGTGTGTTCTCAAATTTTGTCAGTAACTCTTTTTAGGTTCTTCGCATTCCTTTTGATATTCTGTTGAGGCAGATCTGGAACAAAATGGAAAACTCTCAGTGGCAGCCAGTTCTTTCTTATGCACACATGTTGAGAGGCTTTACCCCTTCTAAGGGTGTCATAATCAATGTGACTATTGTATATGTTGCCCGCAGTCATACCAGGCGCCTTCTCCCTGGCAGAAAGGAGATTTGGTTGGCTTCTAGGGAATGAGCGGACTTTAACACAAAATCTTTGGCGGGATGGGGGAAGGAAGAGCTTCGACCTGAGGAAAATGCCAAACCCTCAGGCAGGGGGTGGGCCAAGTGGGTCAAAGGCACAACGGGAATTAGTTCTCTCCTAACGCTTCAACCAGGCTCTAAGTGCTCCAGGTGCCCTAATCCCCCAAGCTGAGCCCACCCTCCTAGGAGCAAAAGAGACCTTGCAGAATTGGGGTGGGAGGAAGGCTACAGCAGAGGGCACCAGAAAAAAAGGGGAGGGATATGTAGATAGGCCTGGGTAGATCCTAGTCAGTGGCTGTCCTACTCAGCCCCAGTGGAAAGGGAGCTGGGCTCTATTTCCTGGTTTGTACATTGTATCTTGAATGGTTCCCCTGAATTTATTTTATTCCAGTAGGTACCCACCACACTCCCGGCCTGGGCTGCTCATCCACTCCCGGGTAGGGCTTAGGCTGCAAACCATCCAGGAAACAAACATCCCTTCCACCCTCAC